GTTTTTGCTTTTTTTTTTTTTTTTAAATCAGCGATGGACCGTATGGAATGAACCCCAAGGAGGGTATTATATTGAGGCTCTGGTATATTTTGTCTTTTGACTGTAGGTTGAGAGACAGGGTGGATAAAGAACCAGCCTTTGAGGCAATAAGATATGGGTTCTAGTCCTAGCTCTGATATCTCTTGGCTGTGTGACCCTAGGCAAGTCACTTAACCTTTTAGAGCCCCATATAACTGTGAGAGTAAATTGCAGAGCAGGTAACTATCTGCATTGGTAGAGGGAGTTCCCTTATTAGGAACTGCCTGTATCTATGAAGTTGCAGGTTTGGTCCTCCCCCCCAAAAAAAAAGGTTATTCATGAAATAATCATTTTTACTTTCCTAAGTGCATCTAAAATAACAGATTCTACTATCTAATTGCTGTAACTATAGTCCATAACAACTAAAGGTTTGTTTTTTTAAACAATCAAGAGTTATATCAAAAAGTATCAATGATATAAATATACTAATAGCTTGGAGCTGTTAGGTCATTTGTGTTCCTACTTAGATTTCCTGATAGTAGATTTTACAGTTGTTCTTCAACAGTGGTCATAGGATTATAGATCCCATTACTGTAGCTAGAAGATCTCATCACCCAAATTGTTTATCTCCCTGTTGTGTTCTGATGTTTTTTTTCTTATTTAAAATACAGTGAGGTTCTCCAATTTTTCCTATTACAATTTAAGCCCATGTCCTTTGGTTTTTGACTTGTGTGGAAAACATTGAACATCTGGTCACCATTTCCTATATAATAACCCATTATATGCTTAAAGACTACTATTAAGTTTTTCCCATGGGCTAAATAACCCTAATTCTATTAAACTTTCCTTATAAGTCCTATTTTCCAAACCTTTAATCATATGAGTTGCTCTCTCTTTGGATCTTTCCAAGTTCTCTTCATCTCTTCAAAGTAGACACATCCGATATTTACTTTTTTATTTTTTAAGTACCTCTACTTATTCCCTCGTAGTTAGTCATTTACCTACTAAGATCCCTTCTTTAGCATTTCTTTTGTATCTGCACATAGTCAAGCATTTTTTTTTGTTCTCTCTATTTATTTGTCTTTCATGATGTTTATTTTGGGCCGCTTCTCCAGCTTGTCAAAATCTTTTATAATTCTAATCTTCAAGGTCGTATTCTCTTAGAGAGTCACCTGAAATGTCAGTTCTTCACTGTCTTGCGTGCAAAATGTTAAAGAAAGGGAAAATCCATATAGACACAAAATCAGATCCAGGTATCTTTGAAGGTCAGCTATATGGTAAAATTATGTACTTTAAAAAATAAACCTAAACTGAGATAAAGAATATTCAGTAAAATAAGGAATAGATAAAAAGGTCGGGTTAACCTATCTTTGCTTCATGCCCTTTTTTTTCCTCCTCCAAAAATATTTATTAAACACCCTTGTGCTCCATGATAGGTCTTATGGCAACAGATGTGTTCCTTGTCCTTAATGAACTCAGGTGCTAAAATAAGTAGCATTGATGTGACCTCACAAAAAGAACAAAATAAGATCATGGCAAACATCTCAGTGAATGGCTAAATATTCCACAAAATGTACAAATTTTTCATGAAGTGTTGCCTAAAATGATATAAATAGGCGTCTCTAACTCATAGGTCTTGAGACAAGACTTAGTTGATCTAAAGCTGATAGCTGCCACCACCTTCTTTTCCCAGTGACCAGGAAATGTGAGTCACTACAAGTCTCCTTTGCCTCCCTTCCTAACCTTCCCCTTGGTCCAGTTACTCAGGTATTGCCCTCTGCCTATCTGATTTTAGGCTTTCAAAACCACAAAAAGGGAGAATTTTCCATACCATCCTTAGTATAGTATGTATGATCTTTGAAACAGGGATATTTATTTAAGGTGGTTATTTTATGGGAACTATGACAGCGTAGAAAGGAGCTTTTTGGTAGCATTTTGAGGGGGAGGAAACAGATCTCCAAGTGTAATATAGGGAAAGAAGACTATTTGAAATCAGAGGATCAGGGCTTTGCCACTTGTCAGTGTGACCTTACGAAGGTCATTTAACTACCACGAGGGCCTCAGTTTCCTCCTCTGTAAAATGAGGGGATTAGAAGTGTTCAAGGTTCCTTCAGCTCTGAATCTCTGATCCTATCCTATGATTTCTGAATAATACTTAAGAAAGTGTGGTCTGATGAAAGAAAATCCAAAGGGTACTACAGAGATGATTGTCTTGATGGTGAGATATAGTGACATGAGAACTAGATATGGAGTCTGAGGAACCAGAATCCTGGTTCTGCCACTTTATAAGAGTTACTACACTTCTTGAGGCTTAATTGCCTCAACTATAAAATGAGAGTATGGGACTAGATAATCTCTGAAATTCCCTTCAGCTCTAAAAGCCATGATTCTGTAATCCTCTGAGTAGAAATGGGAGTAGGGAGAAAGGGATCAATTAGTTTGGCAAATATTCTGATGAGACAGATACTTTTAAACTGTGGGTAAAGAATTTGATGTTCTATTGAGGAGAGAGGTTAGGATATATTGCAGAATTTTTATAAAGATTAGTGCTAGCATTAAAATGATCGGCTATTTGTTTCAAGCTCTAGTCACTTAAACATCCTCAGTTTTGTTACTTTACCTGGGGTACTTTACCTGTCTCCCTCCTCCATCCCCAGTAGAATGTAAGCTGCTGAAGGGCAGTGACTATTTTTGTCTTTGTATCTCCACATGAGCAGAATGCCTTTTACGTAATAGATGCTTAATGAATATTTGTTATATTGATTTGAATTTAGTTCAGGACAACCCATAGCTACAATAATAAATATTCAAGCTCTTTTCTAACCCCCCCCATCTTGCTAAATTTCTGCTCTTATAAATTGTTTTAAAAAATACTTGACTAAAATCTTTCTGTGGACCTAAGATCCAGATTGTCCCCTTTTCTCTTGTACCATAGTACAGAAATTCTATTAAAATAACAAAGAAAAAAAATTTTCCTCTATGCCAACTGGAAAATGTCACTCATTCCACACAATTCTAACACAGATTATGTAAATTAAGAAAAATATATGAGAGGGTTAGTGGTAGTGACAGTAAATAAAACATGAACATAATAGGGAGCTGCTGAATCAAGGAAGGCATTATTTCTAATAGAACCACGTGTTTTCAAAATTCATTCCACACAATCGGATGCTTTTAAATTGCTTTTGAAGGGCCCTTTGCACATGGCTGTATATAGTGAATTAGTTTAAATTCAGTACTTATTTACTCAAGAATCAGACAGTAAGTGTGCTAACGAACAAGGTAGAACCTGGGACATTCACTTCAGAAATGCAGACGTACCTGCCTGGGAGCTGGGAAAAAAGGTCTCCATTCCTCTTCATAAAAGTGCCAGTGTGTGGGAAGATGCTGATTTCATGTTGAGGCTGGTAAAAAGTTAAAGTTGGTCCAAGTTTAAAGAGAAGTTAAATTGTTAAATATGAATTGCATAATCGGCAAGAGTATATTCACTGCCTTTCTCTTTTTGCTTACCATTTAAAAAATGCTTATAGCAGGGATGAATGTGTTACTGATTATCTAACCCCACTGTCATTTTCCACATAAATAATTGCAAAGAGGTTTTACAGCTTCAAAAGTGACTGTAGTCAACATAATAGTGTAAATTACAGTCATTCCTTATTAGACATTTTTCATATCTTAATTAACATTTTCCACCCCTTAAGTTTAGAGCAATGAAGGGACTGAGTCTGGAAGTTATTACTGAATAAAGAACAATCATTTTCAGACCTGTAAGCTTTCACTGAAATGTTTCATTTTTCCTTTAATTGGTATGCAGCCCTGTCTAAAGCTACTTTTTCTGTCTTGACTTTAATGACCAGCTGGAAATTCTCCTTACTTTGTTGACTTCCTGACACTAAAAGTGCCACTTTTGACCTAGAAAAAGTTAAAATTTCTCCCAGGTAATTCCAAGCCCACTATTCCCTTAGAGTGACATGGGATGAGGATCTGGAAACATTTAAAGCTTCTTGGGAAATGAGAATAGACTCGAGGATCTTTATCTCTTCTGTTAGGGCTGGGAGTTCAACTTTCTCATGCGATAATTGGAACATTTGTGGGAGCAAATGTGCTTAGAGGCAAACACAAATGACACGAAAGGCTTTCCATTCAAAAATCCCCTTCCTAACTTGCTGGAAATTAGAAATAATTTTCAGACCCTTTGCCCTATATTTGCTGGTTATTGGACTACTGCAGAAAATTTATACTTTGCTTGGGGAAAATATTCCTAGTTAGAACTTTTTCAAAGTCCATTACATAGTTTAATTATATTTAATTTTTTATTTTAGTGAAAAGATGGACCAATGTGCTTTTTACTCAAGGCACGGTCCCTACCATCACCTCAAATCAAATATTAATTTGAAATCTATAAATCCTCTTTCCCTGACTCAATTTGCATGATGGCAAATATTGTAAATTTTGGACAACTCAAAGTCCCAGATGGACTTTACTTATGGAAAGCTGAACAGTAATTTCAGAAAATGTTAAATCTGAAAGATACTTGAGAGGTCATTTAGTCTAACCTTTCCTCACTTTATAACTGAAGAAAGCAAGGCCCAGAAAATTTGAAGAGGCCCAAGGTAATAGGGCAAGGAAGTAGCAGGTTTGGGAATAAAACCCATATCTTCCATCTCCAAAGGATTGTACTTTCTCCATAACATTAAAAAAAGTAATGAACACTTAGAAATTTGTTAACTGATAGTCTGCTTATAAAAAGAATCCCTTAGTTAAGGACAATCCTACATAGAAAAGACTGCCTTAATAATAACAATAAAAAATAATGATAATTGACATTTATTGAGTGCTCTAAGGTTTAAAAGCTATTTTTCATATGAGATTTCATCATAATTATTTGATCTTAACATGATAATGTAATTTACTTTAAATCATAGGAAATTATGAATAATGATGCCAATTGTAAATGAGATTTTCTTTTTTTTTCTTTTCAGGACTTTATCAGACTTTATGATTCATCACCTTAAAGGAAGAATCCTCAAATATAAGGCATTATGGCAATTCAACATGAGAATGAGAAAGTAGAATACAGTTGATTAGTGCTAACTGCTTTGCCAGTTTGATCTTGGTAGTTAAAGACAGGTACATTTTTCTATTGCTCTTGTTAGCTTTTGTATCTGTCTCAAAGGAAAGCATACTGTGATTCACAATCACATTTCATTATTCCAACTTTTAAATTTTATTACATTCAGAATTGTTGAGTCTTGAGCTGTTTTTTTCCCCACCAGAAGAATATCTTTGACAGTCTAAAAGATCTTTCCACTTTTTAATTCTTATGGTAGCTGATTATTTTTAAATTTTCAGATTGGATGTGGGCTGACTTGTTAACTTTGTTATGGTTTCAGCTGATGTATATTTCTATGTATTGCTTTAGTTGCTGTGTTTCAAATTTCAAATTATTATTTGCATGTTGTCATTAGAGTTGGTCATTTTTTTTATGAGTGTGTAATCTATGTAGCCTAGTCAAATTAAGTTTGGAAACGGTGATCTGTCACTCATGTTTCTCCACCCCCCAAAAAAAGTTTTGTCTGTCACTTTAAGCTCCTTATTTCAAATTAATTTTGATTGGAAAATGCCAGTATTTTAATACCAAGGGAGCAAATTTTTCTATTGCTTATTTGTAAGATAATTTTGTACTATTACCTATTCTTCCCAATCCCCTCAAGCAGGAAGTTTCAGAAAGTGTGAAACAAGATCATTTGTTTATGTTTTTATCAAGGTTTTAAACAAAATATTTGAAGTCCTCCCAAAGATCATACACAATGAGTCGGTGGGATTTATACCAGGAATATAGGACTGGTTCAATATTAGGAAAAGTGTCAGCATAATTGACCATATTAATAAGAAAAAATGACAAAATCATATGATTATCTGAATACATGAAGAAAAAGCTTTTGAAAAAACACATTCCAATTAAAAACTCTAGAAAGTATAGGAATAAATGAAGTTTTCCTAAAATGATAAATTATATTTATCTAAAACCCATAGCAAGCATTGTCTGTCACAGGGATAAGTTAGAAGCCTTCCCAGTAAATCTGGGGTGAAGCAAAGATTCACATCATCACTACTATTATTCAATATCGTACTAGAAATGTTAGCCATAGCAATAAGAGAAGAAAAAGAAATTGAAGGAATTAGAATAGACAATGAGGGGGAAAAACTATCACTCTTTGCAAATGATATGATAGTATACTTGGAGAATCCCAGAAAAATCAACTAAAAACTAGTTGAAATAATTAACAACTTTAGTAAAGTGACAGGATATAAAAAACCTACATAAATCATCAGCACTTCTATATTTTACTAACAAAGTCCAGCAGCAAAATATAGAAAGAGAAATTCCATTTAAGATAACTATAGACAGTATAAAATACTTGGGAATCTACCCGCCAAGACAAATCCAGAAACTATATTAACACAATTACAAAACACTTTTCACACAAATAAATTCAGATCTAAATAATTGGAAAAATATTAATTGTTCATGGGCAGGCTTAGCCAGTATTTTATCTAAATTAATATACTTATTCAGTGGTCATACCAATCAAACTATCAAAAATTATTTTATATAGCTAGAAAAAGTAATAACAACATTCATTTAGAAGAACAAAAGGCCAACAATAAAAAGGATATTAATAAAAAAAATGTGAAGGAAGGTGCCCTAGCTGTGTTAGATCTGAAACTGTATTACAAAGCAGTAATCTTCAAAACAATATGATACTGTCTAAGAAATAGAATGATAGATTGGTGGAATAGATTAAGTATGGAATAAACAGTAGAAAACTACTATAGTAATCTTGTGTTTGATAAATACAAAGATCCAGACTTTTGGGACAAGAACTCACTATTTGACAAAAATTACTGGGAAAACCGAAAAACAGTTTGGCAGAAACTGGAAACAGAAAACAGAAATAACACCTCACATCATATACCAAGATGAGGTCAAAACGGGTACATGATTTACACATTAAGGGTGATACCGTAAGCAAATTAGGGGAGTATGGAATGATTTACTTGTCAGTTCTATGGGTGAGGGATATATTTATGACCAAATAAGAGATGGAGAGCATTATGGGACGTAAAATGGATAATTCTGATTACAATAAATTATAAAGTTTTTACACAAACAAAACCAATGCAGCCAAGATTAGAAGGAAAGCAGAAACCTGAGAAAATATTTTTACAGCAAGTTTCTTTGATACAGGCCTCATTTCAAAGAAATGCAGGGGAAGGTAGCCTAGCTGTTCCAGATCTTAAATTGTATTATAAAGCAATAATCATCAAAACTACTTGGTACTGGCTAAGAAATAGAGTGGTGGATCAGTGGAATAGGTTAGGTATGCAAGACACAGTAGTCAATGACTATAGTAATCTACTATTTGATAAACCCAAAGACCCCAACTTCTGGGGTAAGAACTTACTATTTGACAAGAACTGCTGGGAAAACTGTAAAAGCATATGGCAGAAACTAGGCATAGACCAAAATCTCACACCATATACCAAAATAAAGTCAAAATACGTTCATGATTTAGATATAAAGCCTGATACATAAGCAAACTGGGAGAGTAAGGAATAGTTTACTTATCAGATTTATGGAGAACAGAAGAATTCATGACCAAAGAGGAGACAGAGAACATTATGAAATGCAAAATGGATAATTTTGATTACATTAAATTGAAAAGCTTTTTGCACAAACAAAGCCAATTCAACTAAGATTAGAAGGAAAGTAGAAAATTGGGAAAGAATTTTTACAACCAGTATCTCTGATAAGGGCCTCATTTCTAAAATATATAGAGAATTAAGTCAAATTTATAAGACTACAAGTCATTCCCCAAATGATAAATGGTCAAAGGATATGAGTAGGCAGTTTTCAGATGAAGAAATTAAAGCCATCTATAGTCATATGAAAAAATGCTCCAAATCACTATTGATTAGAGAAATGCAAATCAAAATAACTGTGAGGTACCACATCACACCTATCAGATTGGCCACATGACAAAACAGGAAAATGATAACTGTCGGAGAAGATGTAGGAAAATTGGAACACTAATGCATTGTTGGTGGAGTTGTGAAACGATCCAACAGTTTTGGAGAAAAATTTGGATCTATGCCCAAAGGGCTATAAAAATGTGTGTACCCTTTGACTGAGCAATAGCACTTTTAGGGCTGTATCCCAAAGAAATCATACAAATGGGAAAAGGATCCACATGTACAAAATACTCATAGCAGCTCTTTTTTGTGGTGGCAAAGAACTGGAAATTGAGAGAATGCCCATCTATTGGGGAATGGCTGAACAAGTTGTGGTATATAAATGTAATGGAATACTATTGTGCTATAAGAAATGATGAGCAGGCAGACTTCAGAAAAACCTGGAAAGACTTGTATGGTCTGATGCTGAGTAAAATGAGCAGAACCAGGAGAATGTTGTACATAGTAACAGCCACGTTGTACGATAACTAATGTTGATAGACTTAACCCTTCTCAGCAATATAAGGATCTAAGACATCTCCAAAGGCCTCATGATGGGAAATGCTATCCACACCCAAAGAAAGAACTATGGAATTTGAATGCAGATCGAAGCATACTATTTCCTATTTTTTTCTTCTATTTTGTTTTCTCTTTCTGGTGGTTTCTCCTGTTGGTTCTAATTCTTCCTTACAACATCACTAGTGTGAAAATATGTTTAATAGGAATGTATATGTATAGCCTACATCATATTGTGTGCCATTTTGGGGAGTGAGGCAGGAAGGGAGGGGGAGAAAAATTTAAAACTCAAAAGCTTATGGAAGTGATTGTTGATAAATCAAAATAAATTAATAATAAAATTAATAATAAAAGATAAAGGCCTCATTTCTTAAATATATGGAGAACTGAGTCAAATTTATAATTGTTAGTCATTCCCTAATTGATAAATGACCAAATTATGTGAACAGGCAGTTTTCAGATGAAATCAAAGCTTTCTCTAATCATATGAAAAAATGTTCTAAATCACTGTTGATTAGAGAAATGTAAATTAAAACAGCTCTGAGGTATCATCTCATACCTATCAGATTGGCTAATATGACATAAAAGGAAAAAGACAAGTGTCAGAGGTGATGCAGAAAAATTGGTACACTAATGCACTGTTGGTGGAGTTGTAAAGTGATCTTACCATTCTGGAGATCAGTTTGGAACTATGTGCAAGTACTATAAAACTGTATATATACCTTTTGGCTCAGAAATACCACTACTAGGTCTGTATCTGAAGAGATAAAAAACCAAAACTGTGAAGGATCTGTATGTACAAAAATATTTATAACCGCTCTTTTTGTGGTGCCAAAGAATTAGAAATTGAGGGGATACCCATCAATTGGGGAATGGCTGAACCACTTGTGGTATATGATTAGGACAGAATACTGTTGTGCTATAAGAAATGATGAGCAGGATGCTTTCAGAAAAACTTGGAAAGATTTACATGAACTGATGCAAAGTGAAATGAGCAGAACCAGGAGAACATTGTACATAACACCAGCAATATTGTAAGATGATCATTTATGAATGACATAAAGATCCAAGATAATTCTGAAGGACCTACTATCCATCTCCAGGAAGAGAAGTGTTGGAATCTGAATGCAGATTGGAGCATAATTTCTTTTAAACTTTATTTTTTTTTAATTTTATTTTTTGTCTGTTTTCTTTTACGACATAGCTAATATGGAAATGTTTTACATGACTGCATATGTATAACCTTTATCAAATTGCTTGCCTTCTCAATGGGAGGAGGGTGGGATAGGAAGATGGGAGACAATTTGGAATGCAAAATGGTAAAAAAATGAAAGTTAAAATTGTTTTTACATGTAATTGGGAAAAATACTAAAAAAAGAAGTGAGCAAATCTGTAACTGTACTAGGCAGACTTTTCAGTTTGTTGGTACTTGTATTTGTGGCCAAAGTTGGGTGATATATTGTCATATATAAAATATGTATATATATATGTATACCCACACTTATACCATACATATGTATAATACACACACATATCCAAATTTATCTATTCCATTTGGACAATGACAAGCCAATTAATAGATTTTTAATGACTATAGAGATCAATATGGCAGAGTGGACATAAGTTTGGCCTTGAAATCAGGATCTGGGTTAAAATCCTGCCTCTAACACTACTAACATGACACTTAATCTCTCAGTGTGCTAGAAAACTTTGAGACTATAAGTTACAGATGAGTTGTCACTCTGCACTGGTTGAGGGGAAAGAATTTCTACACTGAGGTTCCCCACACAGGTCTGTCAGAATGCCATTTTTGGTGCTCTGAGGGAAAAACTCATGCATAATGACAAAGCACTTCTCTATTTGGTTTGTAAAGTGTGAGAGGAAGTAGAAAGTATTTTTTGATTGAACACCGACTTTTGAAATTTTCCTTGTAAATGCCTGCTTCTTTCTAGGTTTTAGATGGGATATTGCACATATAATTGTTGACTTTTGTGAGTAAGATGACACAATGTGATTTGGTAAGCTAAGTTATCCTTTGAAAATCAATCTATCCCTTGGACTATGAAAGTTACTAATCATTGACTAAATTAACTGTAGGCCACTTTCTCCCCTCCCTTCTCCATTTGTTTTATATGACACCTGGTGGAGGTCTCTATTGCTGTATATTAATAGATCTCTGATCTTGTTGATGCATATGCACCTTTGAATGGTTCAAATCATGCTCCGTACATATCCTACTAGAAGTCCTTGACAGGTTGTTGACCCAACATGCTGAAGGTCTCCCCTGAGATCTATTGACCTTGCATGGCTAACAGGGTAGTACATGGGCCCTCCCTCTACTAGTTCTCCCTTATTCATGCT